CAGAAAATACTAATTATAAATCAAATATTTTTTTAACAAATGCAATTTCAATTTGAAACAAATCTATGATGTTTGATTTTTTATTAAAACCATGTCCTTCATTTTTTCCAATTACATATTGAACATCCACATTATTACGTCGAATATATTCGACTATATGGTCAGATTGACTCATTGGTACATGATGATCATTCATACCTTGAAATGAAAATAGCTCGAATAACAATTTTCTTGTTATGTTTTTCTTTTTAGAACAAAAAATTTACCTTGAGCAATTAACATTGGTTTATCAATTTTATGTACATTTGTTGACGGTGATATACGTTGAAGAAATTCATACATTTTCGGATCTCGTTCATCACCATATTCTTGTCCACGAATATCTTGACGATACTGAAAAAATATAAAACCTTTCTGATATTGACTAATTTTATCAATAGTAAAGTGGTGCAAAAAAACAAAAAGTTAAAGTGCTTTTCTTTTCTTGTTAATCATGATAGATAGATCGAAGACAAAAATGAATTTAGATATTCAAAAGAATCTCCAATTAGAATTGCTCCAAACCACAATCCTAACAAATGAAAATGTCAGAAAGGTCTAAAAAATCAAGCGTGGTTTGGCATTTACAAGAAAAGCCCTAAATTAATTTTTTCCTTCTTATTTCTGTAGCTTTGAGCTGACAATGAACATTTAGGGCTTTTCTTGTAAATTCTATAACTTTGCAAAGAAAGGCCGTGTAAAGCTGGGAGATGTCTCATTTCAATCAGAAATGTGCCGGCTACAATCATGCTTCATTAAGAAGGTTCGGGTTATACTTTAGAGTTTTTAGAAAACCAGATCTTCGAAGGGCAGCCACCATGGTCATATTCGGATTCACTTTTCTCCTCCTTGGAAAGAACTTTCAGGAAAAGGATACGTATGTTTCTGAAGCACACTTTAGTGATTCTAACCGTGAGAAAATATCAGGAAAATATTCAAATTACAAAGTGCTGAAAGTTTTGGGGACAGAACATGTCGGTTTTCCGAACGTTGATCTAGCTTGAGCTCATGGTGCTTAAAAATTCATATTCTATAGTCGGCAAGCACATTTTCTAAATCAGTTTTTCACATAGATAACGAATAAAAATAAACGAAATCAGGAAGACTTATGGTTCAAAGACCATAAGCGGTTTTTCGAAACGTGTGTATTTTTTACGATTTCAAAGTTTTTTAGTATTTCACTATTTTCGACATGAAAAATCAACCTTTTCTCAATGAATTATACATATTCGGAATCAGCGCGTTGAGCTCTATCAGAATCTGTAAGGAAATCTATAGGTAAAAAACCCACTGAAATTTGAAATTTCCTTAACCTTGAAAAGTTTCAAAAATGATCAACATACCAGCATCCTTCGTAAATACAAGTGAATTAGCAAAGGGTGACTTAGAATTTGGACACAGTTTTACAATATTTACTGGATCATTGAAAAATGTTAATTATTTTCTTATCCCCAACGGGACTTTGACATAATGAATCAATTTTGACATTATTAAGACAATTCTGATATTATATTAATCGTTCATCTCGATTTAGTAATACTTCTTCAGGAATATTATCTAATATAAGAGTTCCACGTTCGTACCTCACCATCTAAGTGTAAATCTTCTAAAATAAAGCGTCTGTGTGCGAATGGCTTTTTTGTTTTCTATTCTATTCTATACATATATGTTTGACGAAATTCTTTAGGCAACAAAGCGGAAAAAGCACTATAAAACAAATGTACCCATTCCGGAATAAGACTATGCCGTTCCGGTTATAGCGAATAAATAACATAAATTCTGGTCCTACTGCTACTCCTTATTCCGCTACAAATTCAAACTATTTACATGTGTTTATACCCAAAAACGAAAAAATTTCTCTTATTCCGGCATAGCGGTCCACCATTCTACAGTGACAGTCTATCATTCCACGAATTTGGTATCCATTCCGGAATGTACTTTTTATCCCTGGGGTCCATCCGATTCGAATAAAACTATTTTTTGGTTTATTTACAGATTAGCAGATGAATCTATGTTGTTTAAAATTTATATTTCTCATTTGTTCCACAAAGGACTAGACTGGGACTACAGAGTGTGAGTAAAAGAGATAACTTTTCTCTCGCGTGAGTTTTACCACTAGAGTAATCGATATACGTATGTGAAAAAGCACTCACGCTTGAACTTCCAAGCTATTATGTCCAAGGCGCTTGCTACAGACTCGTGCTACAGTTCGTTGCTACAGACAATCCAGCATCCTGTGAATAAGGCGAGCCAACTTCAGTCCTGCGTGCATTAAACAGCACCGAACTGAATGTTACTACATCCTGCAAAACACTAATGGTCACGGATATATTACACCGAGGAAACTCACATTAGTTTGGATAAGAAAAATAAATCTTCATGTGTATTACTCTGCGAACTGTGTATAGTTAGATAAATTGTTGAGGCTACACACTTAGAATAACAAAGGCTATCTTTCTACGGCTCTGAGCGTATCCGTCTTCTCGATCGAAAAGACATTAAATTCGTTTAAAAATTATCCTACCATACCCTAGTGAATGTACTTGAGATCAAGTACTTAGCTACTTGCAAATTTTCTAAAGTGCTCGGAATGAATGAATGAATGAATTTTATTCACGAAAAGTGAGAGTCATCAAAGGTCATCGACCTATAAAACAATGACTCGAGCCAAACAACAACAAAAGAATCTATAAATAGAAAAAAAAGAATAAATAA